TTATGCCCCATATCAGGACTTTGAACTCGTATAATCTTAGCTGCATTGTCAAAATTGATTGCCCTTTTTATGAGGTATCAAACCGAGGTCCCATCTGCCTCTTTAGGTGGACATTAAAGATTGGGTGTTGTGTGTGTGTGAGTGTCTCTCTGTCAGTCAGGAGCTGATCAGGTTTCCTGAGGGGTTGTTTGGGGCGGAGACTGTCTTGTGGTCCTGCCCCACCTGCCTGGTCCACGCCTTCAAAGCCCTCCATGGCCTTCTTCCTTCCTCTATGACCTGCTAACCCCATATCAACTTGTCTGCCCCTCCGCTCAGCAGGTCTGCTCCACATGGCACCCCTGGGGCCACCCCACCCTCAGCCTCTCTGCCCCACCCTTTGGAACTCCTTCATACAGTACCTTCAACAACGACAACTTGCACTTATATAGCGCTCTCCACACGGTAGCGTCTTAGAACACTTAACAGTGGCAGAGCCTGACTCAGAGGCAGGGGGAGGGGTGAGGTGGCCATAAGCACGGTTGTATAGGAAAGTTTTCAGGCAGGACTTAAAAGAGGGGAGAGAAGAGGTAAGGCGGAGGGATTGAGGGAGAGTGTTCCAGAGTTTTGGGCGCAGTGGCTGAAAGCATGAACTCCGATGGTGTGGCGGAGCGTGCGAGGGACGAGCAGAAGGCCGGTGCCAGTCGAGCGATGGCCAAATATCCTCACAAATCAAATCAATCATTCACTTTGTGGCAAGGACATCGCTATGCAAACATTCAATGTCACTTTTTACACAGATTACACAGTCACTACACATCACAGTATATCCTGTGATATGCTTTGAGACGTCACTACAAGGTGATGAGATGCTGTCAACTGCAAGGGTTATTTATTATCATTAATAATAAGATAGAATTTTTGAAGAATAATTAAAACCTGCTGGATGCTGTATTGGGATCAGATGGAAAGCTAAATTGGCACAGCTGTCGGGTAATACGTTGAGGCACTATATCAAATGCAAAGGTTATTATTAAGAAGATAGAAAGTTTTTTTGAAGAAGAATTGAATATTGATAATGGACACTGTTTTGGAAAGCACATGGAAAGCCAAATTAGCGAAGCTGTCAGGTACAACATTGTACTTCACAAGACATCTTCCTTTCATTCTTCAAAATTTAAAGGTTCTTTATTCCCTTACAGTGTACTTCAACTGTTTACAAGAACACTAGGGCGATGTACGCATTCATTTGATTTCTCTAAAGCAGGATGTATTTGTTTTCACTTATTGCAGATAAGCAATCAAGTTGCTTTGTTACCTCCCCCACCCACCCCAACTCCCCTCCAATGGACATCTTTTGAAATTAATTTAGTTGATAATTTACTGGAGGTGAGATTAAAACGAAAAATAATTTGATTCAGGAGTGCAAACAAGGTTTCAATGCTGTGTTCATTTAAGCATTTAACAATTCCTTGCTTCACAGCCCTGTTGCAGGTAAGCTTTGAACATTTGCCGTTGTATAGCTTACATAACATTACAGCACGGAAACAGGCCATTTGGGCCAACTTGTCTGTGCTCGGACCAGTCACTGCAGGCAGGGAATCATCCCACTCAGCTCCTGTTAACCGAGCAAGCCAAAGCCCTAACAGGTAGGGTGGTCCAAGCTGGACAAGTAGTGGAAAAACTTGTCAGACAGCAATATAAATGGCTAGCCATGTGGTTTTAGCTAGTTAGACTCCAGCAGTACTCCCAATGCGCACTCTGGGGTCCCCAAGACTTGGCTCTTAGCAACCTGCACCTAATACTTTCCAGAATTAGGTTAGCAGGATATTCCCCTCCAGGAAGAGAGTGTGCATTCCATTCCAACAATCTATCTCTGGGATTTCCATGTGCAGGTGGAATGCATGGACTTCTCAGTTTGGTTTGGAAACTGTTAAACATGGTGATGGGTTTCCGCATGTGTCAGACACCCAGCTGACCAAAGAAGAAAGCTTGTGCTGGTGTTTATATTCCAATGAGCCTCCACCCCTACTATTCAGTATATCTTGTAAAGCATTTTGAGATGTCCTGATGTGAAAGACTCCACAACAAATGTAAGGGTTGTTATTTTTCTACTTTATTATTTGCAGTGATGAATAATTAGAAGGTCGGCAGTGATTGCTGGTGTCTGCAGAGACATTCAAATGCTGAGTGACGCTCACAAAAGCCACCTGCTACTACCAAATATTCTAGAAGTAAAAATGATCTGATGAAATATTTTCTATATTTTACTACAGTAAACCGATAACTCAAGTTATCTGACGAGTTATCAGGAGTGGCGAGTTAGGCATATGAATAAATACATAAATAAATGCGGCTGGGATTTTGGCAGCATACACTTAAGTTCCCCCCACCCCAACTCCATTTCATCTGGCCCATCCAGCCCCTCCATAAGAACAACAACAACAAGATTTCTTTTGTATAGCGCCTTTCACGTCAGGAGGACGTCCCAAGGCGCTGGACGGTGTACAGCATTTCAGACCCGAGCTGGGGTCAGGTGGGGGAGAAGGGAGGGGAAGGGGGGGGTGACCAGTGGCATGATCAAAGAGGAGAGTTTTAAGGCGGGACTTGAATGAGGCTAAGGAGGGGGCGAGGCGGAGTGATTGGGGGATGGAATTCCAGAGGTTGGGGGCAGAATGGTTGAAGGTTTTCCTGCCAATGGTGGGGCGGGTGGGTCGTGGGACATGGAGCAGGTTGGAGCCAGCTGAGTGGAGGGAGAGGGAGGGTTGGTAGGGGGTTAGGAGGTCGCAGAGGTAAGGTGGGGTGAGGCCATGGAAGGCTTTGTAGGTGAGGACCAGGATCTTGAACTGGATCCTCTGAAGGATAGGGAGCCAATGGAATCGGACAACAATGGGGGAAATGGGGTCATGGAGTTTGGTGCAAGATAGGACACGGGCTGCAGAGTTCTGGATTATCTGCGGAGTTGGGAAGGCTGACAAACGGCATTTGCATAGTCGAGCCTGGAGGTGATGAAGGCATGAACAAGAGTTTCAGCGGCCTGAGGGCTGAGGTAGTGGCAGAGTCGGGCGATGTTACGGAGGTGAGAGAAGGCAGAGCGGGTCATGGCTTGGATGTGGGGAAGAAAAGACAGTTGAGGGTCGAACAAGACACCCAGGTTCCTGATGGCTTGGTGAGTTGAGTGTGCAACCATGGAGGTTGATACTGCCAGAGCCTGAGGTGCAGAGACGCTGGCGCAAGCCAATCAGGAGGGCCTTAGTCTTGTTCGCATTCAACTGTAGGAAATTTGCCCTCATCCAGGACTTGATGTCCGACAGGCAGTCTGTCAGGACAGCAGTGGTCCTGGAGTTGAGGGTGGAGGCAGAAAGATAGAGTTGGGCATCATCCACATACATATGGAAGTTGACCCCATATCTGCGGATGATGTCACCTGGAAAAGAGAAGCCGGGGGTTGTCCTTTGCCTCCAAGATAACCTTGGAGTAGAAGGAGGATTTGGCGGAGGCAAGAGCGCAGCGGTAGTGGTGAAGCTAGATCTGCCGATGGACCGTTAGTTTGGATTTGGTCCAGGCGCGTTCAGCAGCTCACACTTGTGCCTTGAGGGAACGGAGATGGCTGGTGTACCAGGGGGACTTATGGGAGTATGAGGCAGTTCGGGAGGTGAAGGGGAAAATGGAGTCCAGAATGGAGGAGAGGGAGTTGTGGAGAAGAGAGTGAGGAGGGGAGATCGGTCAGGGAGGGCCAGAGGTGTAGGTGTTCAGATGATTCCAGGGCAGTGGAGAGGGAGGAAATTTTTTCCACGGACGGTATGTGATGGTAGAGGGTTGAGAAAGGGGAAGGGGTACGGAGGTGTTGAGGATGATGAAGTGGTCGTCCGAGGTAACTTTGTCGATGATGGTGATGTCCGAGACGGTGAGGCCCCGTGTGATCACCAGGTCAAGAGGGTAGCCATGGTCATGGGGGAGTGGATGAGGAGGGAGAGGTTAAGGGAAGACAGGAGTCGGCAGAGACAGAGCAGGAGGGGGGGAAGTGGAGGTTGAAGTCACCTAAGATTAGGAGGTGTTCAGAGCAGAGGGAGAAGGAAGATAGGAGGGTGGAGATGTCCGAGAGGAAGGTGGGGGAAGGTTGGGGGGGCAGTAAACAAGGATGTTTTTTGAGGGAAAGCCTGGAGGGGTGGTAGAGGGTAAGGTGCTCAAAAGAGGGGAAGGTCCGGAGGAATAAGGGGAAAGGCTGAGGGGGGACCGGGAGATGAGAGCCACACCACTGCCATGGCGATTGGCCGTGGGGTTTGGTGAAAGGTGTAACCTGGAGGTGTGGCCTCGACTCGTGGGAAGGTGTCGCCTGGGGTGACCCAGGTTTCATTGAGGGTGAGGATGTCAATGTTTTCCTGGATGGTGAGGTCATGGTTTGTAAGGGACTTGTTAGTTAGTGATCGGATATTCTGCAGACCGATGGCAGAGGGGACAGTTACTGGTGGGAGTGTGGGGGAGATGAGGTGGGGGGGAGGGGGTGGACAGATGGGTTGGATGGGGATGTGGGTGAGGGAGGAAAGGTTGGTTCCTGTGGGTGAGGGCTGGTGGGCCTTGCAGCAAGAGTGGGTGAAGGGGCAGTCAGGATGGGTGCTGTTGGACAGCCGATGGCGTCTACCACGGTGGGCACGACGGAGAATGTGAAGGGAGGAGCAGAGGGAGGCCGTGGGGGAGTCAAGGAGGGATAGGAGTCAGGACAGGCGGAGGGAGAGGAGGGTTGAGCGGGGGTAGTAGAGGGAAGGGGATGGGGTCGGGAACATCTTGGGGAAGCAGCTTGGGTTAATTGTGGTAACTAATGTGCGCACGATGAGACTCGGAGCGGACAGGAGTGTTCAGCGAGCCATGGTTAGCCCGCTGGTCTGGTGAGGCTCAGTGAGGAATTGGGGGCAGTGATGTCTTCCCAGTAATCCATAAATGTTGCTTATGCAGCTCACGGACATTTCTCAAATAAAGCAACAGACCCTCAGCAGCCAAAAGGTTGGACCACTCTGGTTTAAGTGCTAGTGATAAGTTAAACCAGAGTTGACTTCTCAGTAAAATATAGAGAGTTGCAATCTGCAGTGATAGCAGCAGGTGGTGCTGCATGTCCTTAGCGCAGTATTCTTACCTCGTATTAACAGTATCATCAAATGAACAACAGCAGCCTCCAGAAGGCCCCTTCCCTCATCCACACCCTTCCCAACTCTCCTCCCAACTCAAACCCCATGGTTGTTTTGCTCCCACAATCTGCAACCCCCCAATCCCCTCCACCATCTCCTATCAGCACCCCTACCCACATCAGCCACCAAAACATCTGCTCGCACTCAAACAATGCCCTCACCATCCATGACCACATCCTGGATGAGCATTTCACATCCTAGGGCTCACAAAAATACGGCAGTCCCCCGATGACCCTATCCCCCTCAACAAAACCCTTCCCCCGGCTATGCTTTCCACCCACCGCCTCCCCAACTGTTGTAGTGGTGGGGTGACCCACACCTCCCAAACATAGCTACAACCATATCTTCGGTTATCCTCCTATACCCACCCTCCCTGCCCTCTCCTGATCCCAACCCCCAGCTCAGGTCCAAATCCCTGACTGTCCTGTGTTTTGGGACATCCTCCCGCTGTGAAAGGCACTGTACAATTATAATTTGTTGTTGCATTCTGTGGAAAAACTATGTTGTTCCATATTAATATATTGCACTGTAAGATTGCATTAATTTTTTCCAGTCCTTTAATTTTTCTTCATAAAATAGAAATACAGATCACAAGAGTGGTTCCGATGAAGAAGGTTCATTTGACCTGCCCTTCCAGAATCCCCAGCCAATGGATCGTCCATCACACATAATTAAACCTTCCATTTGATATAGCGCTTTTGAGACGTCTCAAAGCACTTCACAGAATATACTGTAAAGTGAATTGACTGTATATTTTGTGGGTAAAATGTGGCAGCCAATTGCACACAGCAGTGTCCCACAAACAGTCATGGATTGAGAGACCAAATTTTTTTTTTTGAAGGGATTATTACCCCCAGAAAGTGATTCGTCAATCGACTAAAGCAGGTTCTTACTTACTGCTAGGGTTGCAGAGGCATGTGGTGTAAGGAAACTTGTCAAAGGTTTCATCCTGCCTGGGATGGAACCCAGGTCCTCTCATTTGCAAGGTGAGTACTCTGACCAATACACTATTGTGAGATGTGCTTCCAAGCACCAAGAGCACACTGCTTAATAATGTCTCCAGGTCTTGTGTAATTTCACCACATTGAGACATCCTCCTGATATGAAAGGCGCTATGTAAAATAAATTTGTATTTTATTGATTTTATATTCTGCCTAACAAGTACTAGGTCTCCAATATATATCTATACATCTAATATCAAATTCTATAATTGGAATTTGCATTGCTGGTGTATGCTGTTCAAGCCCTCTGGGACACTACCCTGTGTGAAAAGTGCAAGTTGTTGTGTATGGCTAACGAGTTACCTCACTGACCATTTGGCATTGAGCATAAAACTACTAACAGCATTCGTTGCACCCTTTCATCTGGGTGAAGACAGTTGGACCTTCCAAATGCCTATCCCACAGCTAGGAGCTAAGAGCCAAGCGTCGGAGTGGAAAATGCAGCCTCTCACACTGTCCTTTACTGCACTGTGCTTAGTCCTGATTGAGTAGGTTTCAATAGCATTCAGCGGAGGTCAGACGTTGATGCTGGCAAGGTAAGCGGATGATGGGAAGCTGCAGGGTTGATTTGGCTACAAAGCGAGTAGGTATTTCTGACTTTCGACGATAATATTGTGTAAAATACTTCAGTGCCAGCCTGCTCCCTCTCAGGCAGGAGGTAAAGTGGGGTTCCCATTGGGTGATGCACAACATTAATGTGTCACTGACTTGGATTACCTTCCTGTCTTTGCTGAAGACAGGCAGCATACAATCAGGAACGCAGGAAAAAAGAGTGAACTTTCCCAAAGAATAAAGTATGCAAAGATGTCACAGTCACCTCAGATTGTCTACATGCAGAATTTTCTTACTTATAAGGAAGTCACCTTAACAAATGACCCTAATTAGATGTGGAATGATTGTTTTGTTTTTTTGGAGGGATTATTATTTATATTATTATATATTATTCCATCTATAGAGCGCCTTTCACTTCGGGAGGACGTCCCAAGGCGCTGTACCCGAGCTTTGGGGGAAATGGTCAGGGGGAGGGAAGGGAGGGAGCGAGGAGGGGGGAAATGGTCAGGGTGAGGGGAGGGAAGGGAGGGAGCGAGGAGGGGGTAGAGAGTTGAGAGGGGAGCTGAAGGCTCGGTCAAAGAGAAAGGTCTTGAGACCGGCCTTGAAGGAGGAAAGGGAGGAGGCGGCGAAGGCACTGGGGGATGGAGTTCCAGAGCCTCGGGCTGAAGGCCCGGCCACCGATGGTAGGGCGGTTGGGGCGGGGGATGTAGAGGAGACCGGAGCCAGAGGGATTGGTTTTGGAGGGATTATTATTAGGCGTGTGGAGTAAGGAAACTTGCCCAAGGTTTCGGAATAGAATGCACACCCTCACTCCCTGAAGGGACTCAACCTGCTTACCTAATTCTGGAGAATATCAGGCTGGTAAGAGCCAAGACTTGGGGACAGAGTATGCAAAGGAGGTTTAAATGCTGGAGTTTAACCAGCTAAAGCCGGATTGCTTACCATTGAAAGCACTGACTGTGAAACTCAATACATGACAAGACTGGTTGGAGATCCTGTTCTGTGCATTAAACCAAACTTCTACTCCTAACAGCAGCTCAGGTTAAATCACTATCTGATTGTTTTGTAACCTTGCACGATCTGAGGAGTGGACTTCTTGCCATCCTACCTTTCCCAAGGTAGATCAGAAACCTGCTTCATCTGTCCATTCATTCACTTTAATAATAATAAAATAATCCTAACATTTGATATAGTACTTTATATCAAATGCAAGGATTATTTTATTAAATAATATTTAACGCTGCAGAACTGTCTCAAAGTGCTTCACAGAACATAATGTAAAGTGAATTGACTATATATTTGGTGCACAGAAACCGGCAGACAATTTTAAATTAAAAAGTCAATTAAATTTAAAATTTTAATTTAAAATTCAATTTCATTGTTGAGCTGAAAAACCCACACTTCCCAAACCAGGATTATTAAAGAGTTCTGTCCATTGCTTCTGTGGACCGTCATCTCTGTTCCCCCTGCCCTCGCTCAGCCCCGCCACTGTGCAGTGTTCCGAGATTATCCTGTGTGATGGGTGCTGTATAAATCATAAGATGGTATTGTTTTCAAGTAATAACATTGTTCCAACAGTACACAAAGTTTGAAATCAAAGGAACCGGAAAATAAGAACTTCATTTCTAAACACGTGTCTAAACAGGAACAATTTGTTTCTGTGGGTTTTATTCTACTTTTGTGAAAATGATTTAATGCTGAGCATATAAACCGAGGCTCTTGGCGGCATCAGATTTCCTGGGAGGTTTCAGTTGAGGGAATGGGTAATAATCCAGTCTAAGGCTAGATGGTGCTCTGGTAACCAGTCCATCTTTACTTGCCAATATGTGTGACCTCTCGCTCGGCAACGAATATCTCTTGTTGATTTTGGGTACGCAATGGTTATGCTTGTTGAAAGAATGGTTTGACTTCTCCAATTCATCTGGCCTGAAGGTCATGTACGCAGTCGCTTCACCATTTGGTATTGTATGGTCAAGCGAGCCTGGAAAAACTTTTTGGTCTGGTGGGAAGTTACCGCCTGTAAGACCAATCTTACTATTTACATTGTTTTCCTTTGCTTCTTTTACTTTACCATTGCTTTGGAACTTGTGACACTTACAATCCTGAGCTTGCACCACACGGTGAAGATCCAGGTGTGTGCGCCAGGGTGTGTAATTGTCCTGCATATAATCCTTCTTTGGGAGTTCGAGTGTGACTCTCTTCACTGGAAGTTGCTCCACAAAGGCCTTTTGTTTCCTTACTGTGCAATTGACGGTCACGGTCTTGATTTGCAGGTCCAGGAAGGCTCCACTTGCTGGTTTACTTTTAACTGAAATCAAACAACAAGGTTTTGAGTTACGTTTTCTGGAATTCTCAGCTGGTTTGGATATTCTTAAGTATCATGATAGGTTTCTGCATGTGTCAGACATCTGGCTGACCAAAAAAAACTACACATTCGGAGCATGTGCGAAGGCTGCTTATAATGGCTCCATCTGTTTACAGTGTTTTTCAGATTTAGGTATAAGAATGTTAAATGCACCAGTTGACAATGACAAACTCCTAGGATGGTCACACATGAAGGGAATGTGTCAGAGGCACCTGACCTGCCATTCCTGGCAGCCGATAATGCTTAGTGTACTGTTCCCCAATGAAACAGAATGATGCCAGCAGAATGTGCTGTACAGCATAGGCAAATTGTACAGTACCAGATTGTGCTGAGGGGTCTACAGAGATCTTAAATTTACTGCTTTGAGTGCAAAACCACTGTGTTCGCCCACAAAATACACAGTCATTACAGCTTACAATGTATCTTGTGAAGAACATTGAAACTTTCAACATCGTTATAAGGCGCTGTATCAAATGCAAGAATTATTATTATTATTGGTATATCCCGAAGTATTTTGAAACAACTTGAAAAGGTGCATCAAATAGAAATATTATTATTAATTTATATCCTGCTTGGACTCCCACTCCATTTTTGTTTAGCGCTTTGAGACGTGAAAGGCTCTTTGCAAAGTGCACACTCTAACACCCGTCTCAAACATTCTCAAAAGTCTCAATTTCATCATCTGTTTGTACTGGATTGAAGCCGAGTTTAGCAGGATAGGTCCACCCAGTCCCTTCGGTTGCAGTCTTTCCACAGTAATCCATCTCACAAGACAAATATTTACATAGCTTTACATAAATTGTATTGGCTGATGTAAAGCATTGACTATGGGTACAAATGGTTACCTTTCTATATTATGTTCTGTTGAGATAAGATAAAGCTTGCAGCGTTTCTTCCTTAATAATACAATTTATATAATGTCCTTCATGCAGCATAGCATCTTGGAGTGCTGCAGAGTGGTGGGGTTCGACACTGAGCAAGTAAGAAGGGAAATGTGAGCATAGGAATGTTGAAGAGGCAAATTTTTAAGTGAGATTTAAAGATAAAGTGGGGTGAAGTGGAAAGATTGAGGGAATAATAATCCTTATATTTGACACAGAGCCCTATCAGGTTGTTGAGATGTCTCAAAGCACTTCACAAGATTTACTGTAAAGTGCAGTGACTGTATTTTATAGGTGAACACGGCAGCCAAATTGCACCCACAAACGGCCATGAAGCGAATAATCAATTTTATCAGGGGGATTGTTGGCCAGGACACTGGGAGAAACTGTCTTCACTTTTTCAAATAGTGCCATGGGATTTTTCACATCCACCTGAACAGGTAGTTAGGACCTTGGTTTAACGTCTCATCTGAAGGACAGCACCTCTGACAATGTAACACACTCCCAGCACTGCACCATCAAATAGAATGTCAGCCAAGACTGAGTTCAAAGATCTAAAGTGAGGCATGAACCCATAACTTCTGACAGACGCGAAAGTGCTGCTGACTGAGCCACAATTGCTATGACAACATCACTAATGTAAATTGTTTTGGCCAGTTAGGTGTCTGACACCCAATGGTGGATGGTGATGGCTGAAACCCATCACCGTGGTTAAAGCTATCCAACCAGACTGAGAGTTCCATATACGTCCACCTAAATGTGGAGTCCTGTAGCTCAGTGGTTAGAGCACTCGCTTTGCAAGTGAGAGACCTGAGTTAAATTCCAGACAGAGGGCGAAACCTTGGGCAAGTTTCCTTACTCCACACACCTAATAATAATCCCTCAAAAAAAACAATAATAAATTGGTCATTTTCAATCTACGACTGTTTGTGGGATATTGCTGTGCGCAATTGGCTGCCGTGTTCGCCCACAAATATACAGTCAATTCACTTTACAGTGTGTTCTGTGAAGCGCTTTGGGACGTCCCCCCCGACGTGAAAAGCGCTATATCAAATGCAAGGATTATTATTATTATTATATGGGAAATTCCCATTTGTGGAATGCGCACACTCCTTGGAGGGACGCACCGCGCTTACCTAAACTCATAGAGTATTAGGCACAGAGTGCATGTTGGGTAACTGCTGGAGTTTATCCAGGGAAATCAGCTTAGTTTGTCATTGAAAGCACTGTCTGGCAAGCTTCCATTTGTTTGTCCAGGTAGAACCACCCTACCGATTTGGGCTCTGGCTTGCAGGGTTAACAGGAGCTAAGGAGGATTCCCTGCCTCCATTGACTGGTCTGCCCTTCCAGGTCCTACCAATGAACCAACCTGGCTGTGTGGTGCCCTAGAGCACTGTGGTCGGACCCACCTGGTTCAGGAACCGGACAACCGAGAGTATCAGAGTATTGACTTGATTTTGACATTCCGTTGTCAAGCGAGTCACCTTAAGAGTCAGTTCAGCTCCAAGGAGACTCTACTTGCTTCCTCACATGAAGAAGGATAGTAATCTCTTGGTTATTTGACATCCGACAAGCGCAGGTTTGAGCCCTCACTCTGTGGAAGGCAGGTACCAAGAACTCCCCATGAGCTTTCTGGTGGGCAATACAGCTCAGCATGAAATGCGTGAGGGCATTGCTACTATCATCCTGTCCGCAGTTTGAATGCATGACCCTGCCCATTGAGCACTGGTTCCACCAGTTGGAGGTGTGGAGCACGGAAGTAAGTTTTGCAGTTTGCCATTGCTCCTCTGGAAATGAGGGCATCTGACTCTGTCCCAACCTCCTTACACACACATTGCTCTTATCTTTGAAGGATGCACCACTTTCGTGCATTTGTTGACAGGCAGGTGAGTCCCACGTCATAGTAGGGTATGTGTTTATGCTTATAAGTTAAAAAATGAAATACAACATTTATATTTTGTTTCGCCCACAAGATACACACACACTCCACTTTACAGTATGTTTTGTGAAGTGCTTTGAGACGTCTTGAAGACATGATAAGGCACGATATCAAATACAAGGATTATTACCTATGCCCTTATATAAGAATATAAGAAATGCTAGACTAAAAAAAGACTGTGGTCCATCTAGTTCGCCTTCCACCTAACTGTCTGTCTTATGCACATATGTCCCAAACTACCTTTGTAATATATCCCATAATGTTATTTCCTAAAAGAAAACTATCTGATCCGTGTTTGAAAAGATCAACATTTCATGCTTCAACCATCTCCCGAGGGAGCCTGTTCCACAGGTTCACTATTCGCTCACTGAAATAGTGTTTCCATACCTCCGTTCTGAATTTACCCCCTTTCAATTGCACGCTGGGTCCTCTGGTTTTACTATTCTGGACTACTTCAAACAGCCTGTTATGATCTACAATGTCTAACCCCTTTAGAATCTTAAAGACAGCGATCATGTCACCTCTCAATCTTCTCTTTTCCAGTGTGAACATGCCCAATTTGCTTAGTTGCTCCTCATAGTCCAGTCACTCCATTCCCTCAATCATTTTGGTTGCCCTCCTCTATATCCTCTCAATTTCTCCAATATCCTTTTTGTATTGCAGTGACCAAAACTGTACACAGTACTCCTAAGTACGGTCTCACCAAGTCCTTTTCATTTTCTGTACATATTATTTTACTTCCATTCAAATAATAGTCCCTTCCTGGATTTTTTGTCCCCATGTGAAGTACTTTTCTCCACATTGAATTTCATCTGCCACCGATCTGCCCAATTCCCAAGTCATAGAATCATAGAATTATACAGTACAGAAGGAGGCCATTTGACCCATCATGTCTGTGCCAACTCTTTGAAAAGAGCTATCGCTTCAATCCCACTCCCCCGCTCTCACCCCATAGCCCTTGCAAACTTTTCTCCCCAAATAATTATCTACTCCTCTCATAAAAGCTGTTATTGAATCAGCTTCCACTATCGTTTCAGGTAATGCATTCCAGATACGAACAACAACAACAACAAGATTCCATTTATAGAGCGCCTTTCACGTTGGGAGGACGTCCCAAGGAGCTGTACAGTTGGGTCATGACCCGAGTAGGGGGGAAATGGTCAGGGTGAGGGGAGGGAAGGGAGGGAGCGAGGAGGGGGTAGAGAGTCGAGAGGGGAGCTGAAGGCACGGTCAAAGAGAAAGGTCTTGAGACCGGCCTTGAAGGAGGAAAGGGAGGAGGCGGCGAAGGCACTGGGGGATAGAGTTCCAGAGCCGAGGGGCTGAGAGGCTGAAGGCCCGGCCACCGATGGGAGGGCGGTTGGGGCGGGGGATGTGAAGCAGACCGGAGCCAGAGGAACGGAGGGTATGGGCGGGTAGGTAGGGGGATAGTAGGTCGGAGAGGTAGGGGGGAGCAATGCCGTGAATGGCCTTGTAGGTGAGGATGAGGATCTTGAATTCGATCCTCTGGGGGATGGGGAGCCAGTGGAGGCGAGCGAGGGTGGGAGTGATGTGGTCCCGAAGCCTGGTGCGGGACAGTACACGAGCTGCAGAGTTCTGAATGACCTGCAGCTTGTGGAGGGAGGTGCCGGGAAGGCCGACGAGGAGAGAGTTCCCATAGTCCAGCCTTGAGGTGATAAAGGCGTGGACCAGAGTTTCAGCAGCGTGAGGGGTGAGATAGTGCCGTAGTCTGGCAATGTTTCGGAGGTGATGGAAGGCGGTGCCAGTTGTGGCGCAGATATGAGGAAGAAAGGACAGCTCAGGGTCGAACAGAACCCCGAGGTTCCTGATTGGCTTTGAGAGGTGGAGAGTGCAGCGTTGGATGCTGATGCTGTCAACGCCTGAGGTGCGGAGGCGCTAACGCGAACCAATCAGGAGGGCCTCAGTTTTACGCGCATTGAGCTGAAGAAAGTTGTCTCTCGTCCAGACAACAAATCGCTGTGTGAAAAAATTTCTCCTCACCGCCCCTTTGTTTCTTTTAACAACTATTTTAAATCGGTGTCTTCTGGTTACCGACACATGCACCAGTGGAAATAAATATGTTCAAATTGTCCTGTAACCTATCTTGTTCAGCTTTGCAATCTATCACCTTCATTAGCTTGGTGTCATCTGCAAATTTAGCCACTGTGCTTGCGACTCCTAGTTCCAGATCATTTATAAAAATAGTTAACAAGAAAGGTACCAAAACAGACCCTTGTGGGACTCCACTGGTAACATTTTCCCAGTCTAATGATATTCCCTGTACCACCATCCTCTGGGTTCCCAGGCGCTCAGTCATGAATTGAGTGACAAATTTATTAGTATTATTTTTTTGAAGCAATTATTCCCCCTGGAAATGTGATCCACCTATTGATTAACAACCGGGTTTGTACTTACTGCTAGGAAAACAGAGGCGTATGGAGTAAGGTAACTTGCCCAACAATTCGCCCTACTGTGAATTGAACCCACGTCTCTCGCTTGCGAGGCGAGTGCTCTAACCAATGAGCTACAGGACTCATTGCAATTGAGACGTTTCAAAGAGCTTCACACAATATCCTGTAAAGTGAATTGACTGGATATTTTGTGGGTGAAATGCGACAGCCAATTTCATACAGTAGAAATAACAAAGAAGCAAATTAAATAACATCTCTTTTTACATAGAGAAACACCCTTTTCCGTGCATGCAAACCCAAAGTCTAACCGTTGCCAAAAAACAAACCTCTGCATCTAATGTAACCCGTCGGTGAGTGTAACCAGCTTTCAGTTTATTTACAGAAGTGTCAACTTACCTGATCTAAAAGTAATGCAATGCTGTTCTCTCTGCCTCTTCCGAATGGAGTCATAGTGCTCCTGAAGTACATTTATGTCCATGAGCAGAGACATCTCATGTGCGCAACTTCTCTTCCGAAACTTCTCTACTGCATAACTCTTCCTATTTATTGCCTGAGTCACATACTCTCGTGCCTGCACCATCTGCTTCCCCACGCAGTTCAGCTTTAGGCAGCAGCTAGATAAGAACATCCTCGTGTGGTTAAAGTGAACAAACACGCTTCCAGGCAGACCAGTTAGATGCCGAGTGGTGTGTTTGCGTAAAAAACAGCTTACTTATTAAAACACAGTTATAGTGATACTGTACACGGCTACTTAAGTCACCCAGGCGCTCAGTGCAGGAGCTAATGTACTGAAGTAATCTGTTGAGCTCTATTTGTACTGTTAATGTTTGTTTAGAAAGGCATCACTGAATCATTGCCAAACTGCCAAAAAAATTTAACACATTCATTTCAGTGTTTGAATTTTGCTTCAAAATTGCCCACACACATAACACACAGACAGACACAAACAAACAGGCATAAAATGCATTTGAAGGACAGGAACAGAACCTTTGCACAAATAATAATCATTATCTTTGCGGTTCATATATCATATATATTTTTGCTTCTTTTCACATATCATCACTCGCTTCATGGCTGTTTGTCTGGGCCATTTACCATGTGCAAATTGGCTTCCGAATTCCTCTGCAAATACACCGTGATTCACAGTAAAATGCTGTGAAGCGCTTTGAGATAACTTGACAACATGACAATCAATATCAAATATATCAAATGCAAGGATTATTATTGTCATCTCAAAGCGTTTGGCAGGGTTTTTACTGTGAGGTGTAGTGACTATGTATTTTATGGGCAAACGTTGAAAGAGATGACTATTTGTGGAATCTAATTACATTCAGTCAAACGGTATTACTGAAAATGTATGGAAGTTTCGTAACTCTCTCTGCTTTTACCTTGTCTCGTTTTAAAGAAGGGCTTCTCCCAACAGTTTAGGAGAGCAATGATTAACTATTAAAATCTATTTTTCATCCTGTCATACCTTTCTTCAAACAGTGAGTGCTGAAAAGCATTGTCGGGGCTATTGTTGCAGGGTTGTTATTGAACTCACTGTGGTGAGGAAGCTGAATTTAAATCAATGAGCGATATGGTTACTAAACTAACTCAGCAACATTTCTCACGGTCTGTCAGCTAATTAGAATAATCCCTGCTTCTGATGTGACATGTTTAACTTCGGGAGCACATCTCAAAGCACTTCACAGGATTTACTGTAAAGAAGGTGACCTTATTTTAATAATAACCTTGCATTTGATTTAGCTCCGTATCACATCTTCGAGAAGTCTCAAAGCACTTCACGAAATATGCTGCAAAGTGAATTGAGACTGTGCATTCTGTGTGTGAAACGTGGCAGCAACCACACACAGCAGTGTCCCACAAACAGTCGCAGATTGACTGAGTAAATTTTTTTTCTTTTGTAAACCAAATCTGGGGCTCATATAAAAAAATTGAACTCACCACAACTCCTGATGCTGGCAGTAAGGGATTAACTGCCGTATTTCTCTGATAAGTGATCTGGCTTGGAATGTTATTACTTGGTTTGTTGCTCAACTCAAGACAGGGCATATTTGGCTAGAGACACAATATCTCATCTGGGGCCTGTCCCCGGAAATCAGGGACATATGGTCACCCTACTATAAAGTGCAGTGGCTGTGTATTTTGCAAGGCGGCCACGGTAGCCAAATTGCACATAGCAAATTTCCCACAAACAGCCATGAAGCGAATGACCATCATCTGGGGTGGGTGGAGGGGAAAGAGTGGGATTGTTATTTCATTTGCATGGTAAATTTGGTAGAGTATGGTTTCTTTTGCAACACCATCATTCACGGTTCAAACAAATATATTGAAATAACCCAGAGGATGGTAAAGAGTAATTACAGATGTTTCTCCTCCCACTTACTCTGAAGATGGTGAATCAGGCTCTGAGATGATGATTCCTCTTGTGCCAGCAGCTCTCTGTTGCTCAATTGCCTGGGTCCATTGACAAAAGTCGTCAGAATGTGATTCTGGCTGCGTCACTGGGCTATTTAACTATGATGTCCATCCCAATTAATAGGAGGCAGCTTGCCTTTACCCAATGATCATGCACATCTACTGGAGATAGGAGAGAAATCAGGATGGAGTGAGTAGACCCGGGAGGGTGGGGGAGAGAGAAGGGAAATCATGGCAAAGTAAATTGTGAGGGAGAAACAAGGCAGAGTGAGGTGAGATAGATGGGTGGGGAGGGGGAAAATCATGGCAGAATGTGTAGAAAGGACTGAGTCTGAGTGGAGCCGAACAGGAGTTGGGCTGACTCTGAGAAATAGTCTTACATTCAGGCCTTTCACACCTCAGCGTGCATCCTACAACTGGCTGGGCACCCATGCCAAAGAGGATGGGTGGGGGAAGGGAGGTTGGGGGAAGATGACCGAAAGCATGGTGAAAGTCCTGAGGCAGGCTTTAAAAGTGGTAAGGGGGGGTAGGCAATCAGAGGGTCTCCAGAATGGATTTCCAGAGAGCAACAGAAGATGGGTTAAGGCTAGGCTGCCGATAGTTGGGTAAATCAGGACATGAATATGATAATAATTATTGTATTTGATATAGCGCTTTATCATGTCATTGTGAAGTCTCAAAGCACTTCACAGAATATACTGTAAAGTGAAATGACTATTTTGTGGGGAAATGCAGCAGCCAATTGCACACAACAGTACAAGTTCATTCGTTGAGGGAAGGGGTGTGTTGATAGGATTGCAGGAGATTGCAGAGGTGTGGGGGTGAAGTAGTTAAGGGATTTGAACGTGAAGACGAGGATCTTGAATTGGATCCACTGGAGCAAGGGTTTGGCTACTATGGAAAGAGCTGAACTCACCTCATCTGTAAGCTTGAATTCTCACCAGGTGATCCCTGTTCCCACCAATTGGACACTTTTACACTGCAATTGTGTTGGCTGATACATTCCAACCCCCAAGGCCAGGCTGGGCTAAGATCCCCGCTCTTGGCTGGGCTTTGTAACAGGAAATGTGCCCTATGAGATAGCCTGCAAAGAATGGAAAAGATCATAGAGTGCAGCTGGGAAGCTCTTGATGTGTTTCCCCCACGTGTGTGGGTACCATAGAACTTTACAACACATAAGGCTATTTGGCCCATCGTGTCTGTGCTTACTCTTTGAAAGAGCAATCTATTCAGTGCTATTTATCTATCTACATCCCTCCACCCCTATACTACTATAAATACTCTTTATTTAGATATCTATCTAGTTCCCTCTTGAAAGCTAATATGGATCCTGCCTTGTCCACCACTCCCAGCAGGTCATTTCACCTCCTAGACAGCTCTTGTTTAAAATAAATTCTCCTATATTTGCTAATTAGCTAATTTGCTCCCCTTTGCTAATTATCTTAAAATTGTACCCTCTAATCATTGACCAGTTGAAATAATTTCTCCCGATCAATATTTATCAGAACCTCTCATCATTCTGAAATCCTCTATCAGGTCTCATCTCAACCTTCCCTGTTGGAGTGAAAATAGACACGTTTCCTCCAGACTCTGCTCCTAGTTCTAACCACTAATCGCTGATATCATCCTAGTAAATCTCCTCTGCACCCTCTCTATGATCGTTCCTAGTGTAGGGTACCCAGAACTGGACACAATGGTCTAACCAGTGATTTGTACAAGCATCATCATCCTACCATTTGCCCATTTGCGACATCGAGCTGTTACTTAAATAATTCCAGAGTTCCGGCCTGACCCCTGACCCCCACCTCTTAACTATGTTCAGATTCTTCCCCAAATCCCTTGCTTCTGCTCCGACTAGTCCTACTTCCCCTTGGGTTTTCCCTGCTACACCTGATCCATCCATGTTCTAATGTGATGAAGTACTTACTGTCCTAAACCCGCCTTCACAATCCTGAACCTGTGCCCTCTTTCCTGCTGCCTCGGCGTATGTGTAAGTTGAACTTTCCTTAATCGTTTAAATACCTTGTGCTCCCCTGGGAATGGGAGGAGGGGTCAGAGTTAGGTGCATGTCAAGCTGCGTCACCGAACGGTTGATTTAATAGCGTTCTTAGGCCATTTACATCATTACGTTCCCATTTTGAGGCCAAAAACAGCGTTTTGCCAGAACACTTTGTCACTTAAGTGGCTCTTTCATAGTACTTGTTCTTAAGAACTATGCCTAAAGTACCAGATCACGAGGCAGATTTTATTCCCCGAGCATTGTTTATCAAGAGGGTAGGAATGTAAATTATGCCTCCTTTTGTAAACCACCTTCGTTAAAAAGGCCACCCAAGCAGGACCTTGTGGTTAGCAAAGCACTGACTGTGCCAATCAAGAGGTTTTTAATCATGAAACCAATTCAAAGGCATCAAACACACATTGTATATGCTTTCTCCATTTAACTGTGAAGAGGCTCCTTCATATAACATTTATTTCTCCAATGTTACACAGAACATGAGGAGGCTCACTTAACCCATCATGTCTCTGCCAGTACTCCCACTTTCCAGCTCCATCTTCAAATTCCTTAAATGCTTTTACTATTTAGGTGCTTATTCCATTCCTTTTATAGCACTAACAATAACAAAATTACATTTGTATAGCACCTTCCACGTTGGGAAGACAGTCAGTGTTTCCTAGGGGTCGGGATTGGGGCGGGTGGAGTTGGGGGAGAAGGAGGGTGATCAAAAGACATGGTTGAAGAGGAGAGTCTTGAGATGGGTCTTGAAGGATGCAAGGGAGGGGGCGAGGCAGGGGAAATACTGGATGATGTTCCAGAGGGTGGGGGCAGTGTGGCTGAAGGCCCACCTACGAATGGTGAGGCGGGTGAAGCGGGAGATCTTTCTGAATGATTCTATTAGGAATAAGAGGCGCCTATTCAGTCCATCAAGCTCCCATTCTTAAGATAATGAATCCCATTTCCTTGCATTTGCTCATATCTCTTAAACAAGCTCACTTCACCAATCACTTCCTGTTTTCTGCAAATGCAAACTGAGGCTGCAGTGAAGCAAGGAGTAATAATAACAATAATCCTTGCAATCGATATAGTGTCTTATCATACTGGTGAGACAAAAACAAATTACATTTGCAAAGGTCGTGAATTTAGTGACCAGTTATTATTTTTTCTTGAAGGGCTTATTACCCCTGGAAGGTGATCCAAAAATCGACCAACAACCAGGTTCCTACTTACTGCTAGGTAAACAGAGGCGTGTGGAACAAGGAAACTTGCCCAACATTTTGCCCTGCTGGGAATCGAACCCAGAACTCTATTCTTTTTCTTTTACTCATCCCAATTGATTCTGGAGCA